TTGGTAGTGCTCAGACTTGTACACAAGGCTTAATCTACAGTGAAGTAAGAACAGCTAACTAGACTTTTCCTGTGAGTGATAGTTTGCTATAAGTCGTTTGATTCTGGTTCACAGCATGTGTAACAGGCTATAGATGAACTGCAGGGAGAAGTTTTCACACAAAAAAGAAACGATCTGCAGAAAGACCATGCCTGACGCGCCGTAACAACTCGCATGTGTCAAGAAAAAGAAACCATGCCAAATGCCTCAAAACTTTGGGTGGAGATAAGTTTTCGTGCACATTTTCTATTCAGTTTTATTTTGTTTGCGCAAGCTCCCAACGCTAACAGTCACCCGACGGTGAAAACATTTTTCTACTGTTGATGCAGAATGGATCGGTAACTGCAGCCAAAATCAAGTTTTTGTGGCATAATAGATCACCAAAACATGAGTGAGGTTAGTTTGGTACCTTTTTGGTGGTAACTGTTGCTCTTCTAAACTGCACTATACGGTGTTTTCACGTTTTGTATAAAAAATATGAATGCTGTTTTCGAAAACGATGTTATTTCAAGCGATGCATTTCGGGAATCGCTGCTCCTGTTTTCTGAGTGACTGTCGTGCTATATTGAACCATAGTTATGCTTGAAGCATGTTTAAGAAACAGTTATAACCACCAAAGTACATCGAGCAAAAAGTGTATTAAGAACGGCCGCCGCAAATTACTGCAGACATCCCGATTGAGATGGACCAACAAATAGGCCACGACGGAGCGAGTTCTCATAGAGATTCCAACGTGCGGGACACTTCGGCACGCCCCTCTATATGTCTCGGGCCCTGTTATAACACACTATTTAGCTCGCATGCAATGGCGTGAATTTAAACTAGGAAGTAAATTGCGAAACAAATTGAAAAACGCTCTTTTTCCTGCCACTCCGTCCGGCTCTGCTTACCTTTCTTAGCCACTCTTTTTAGGGGCTGCTTTCTTTCAGGGAGACATGAAACGATTTAGGGCTGCGCCATTGATCGACCAACCTACCGATTAATCATTTAATGCGTTATTCACGATTAAATGTTTGTTTACCGCTTAATCAGTAAATGTTTGACGAGCCAACGGAGAATATCAACGAGCCTCTCAATATCATGGAGCTGAAGTATCAATCTGTGAGTATGAATGTTTTGTGCACTGTTCTTAACTACACATCGACGCTGATTCATAATCGAAGTTGTATATTCAACAAAAGCAAAACAAAAATTATTGATTTTGACTTTTCTTTAATATTATGCATGCAAATGAGCGAGGGCGATTTATCGATTAATTATTCGATCAAAGGTAGGTGATTAATCGAGTCAAAGCATTTATTCGACGTCCAACCTTAGAATTTAAAGTCCCATGCCTTTTGCCTGCTGTTTTTGTTGCAGCAGCCCGGCACATAACAGGTGAAGCCACCTATTGAAAACCGTCAGCAAACACCTGGTTAAAAGTCTCCTGCTAACCTAAAATTTCCAAACACCGGGCGTACAAAGGGCTTTTACGCGGTCGCGAAACAAGGGAGGATTACACGTACCAGAATGCACAGCGGCAGCGCTGGCATTGCAAAACTTCTGGTGAGATCGGTCAATTAGAAAATGTTAACTAATACACCTGCGTCGAACTGGCGGTTCTCCTGGTCCCTGGTAGATCCAGAACGCCTTTCATCTGGTGCATCCCCAGACCTTCATTCTTGTAGGCGTGAATTATTAAATTCAGAGTCGACTAAAAACCTTCTTTGTAGTATTGCCCTATACCAATACTCCTCAATGTTTAGATGTCTTAAGCACTTGTATAGTCTCTTTTGAATTTTTTCGAACATGTCTCTGGCGAATGCAGGGAGACATCCGTCTTGAGTAGCTCAACTTTCTGCAGAGTAATGCGTGATTCAATGTCGGTGCTCTGCAGAAATTGTTTTGAGGAAGTTCACGATAGAGTTATGCCATGTCATGCATAGGTTTTACGGTTCGAGTAAACGAAACGGTATCGCCTCCACTTCCTAACCAGCAGACGACACCGAACTGCAGAGTGGTGTTACGAGCGCGGAAGAGGACTTGTCTTGGCATCAGCGTGCATCACAATTTTCAGAAAAACGCGACGGTTAGCTCTGATCCCACCAGGCGCAGCGGCGTTTCAGCTCAACTTCGCCACGATGGTAGAGTAACATCCGTAACACAAGGCAAAAAGAAGCTATAAACTAACCAATAAGCTTCAAGGTTGAAAATATATTTTTAAATATTTGTGTTTTTCCAAGGTCCGTCCACGATTGGAATGGTTTGCCTTAAAGCATTGCAAGCATTGCTACATTCAAATATTTTGATAGTGCCCTTGATGAATAGTTATAATAAATTAATAATCATTATGTCTACTAGCATATCTTGCTGCATAAAATGTCAGTTTAAGCATTCATGTATAATTTTCTGCCCTTGTATTGTGTACTCCTCTATGCCTTGGGCGGAAATTGTCGGCCGGCAGTATTCTTCGAATAAAAAAATTAAATAAAAATAAGAAACACAAAAGGTGGATGTTTTTGTTCCTCCTTTTTATGGCCACATCAAGTTTATTCCAGTAGGCCACTAGGGCCGGCTTAATTCTACTGTAGATTTGCGCAAGGGATAAAAAATATTGAATCCTACAAGTTAATAGAAAATGTGGCAACTTCGTCTTATTTACACGATTCTCTCGATTCTAGATCATTAGGATCACTTTGTAAGCTAGCTGCTAGTTTAAATACAAAAGCCATGGGGAAAAAGGCGCTCGAATTTGCAGAAAAAGAATCCGTTTCTTTTTCATTTTCTATTGTGGTGTAGCTCTTACTATTGAAGAGTGTAACTAGATATGTTAGTTTTAAGCAATTCAGAGAGACGTTCTGGCACAAGAAGGTGAGACAAACTTCTGTTTCAACCTATAAGACATTCCCTAGACGTCTGCACTCGAACCATTCGTTCAAAGTTACTTCTTTATATTTAGCATCTTCTGTCGAGTACGAATGAAATGCGAAGAGCGGAGCGCGTGACCTGCAATACACGCAGCACTACACAGAGGCAACTCTGCTTGGATACAACTTTCTATGGCAATGAAAATAACTAATTGGGGGGACGGGGGGCGGAGTTAATGGTTTTTTGTTATTCGGTGAAGTAGTTCAGGACTTGCGTGGTTTTGATTTCGCTATGAGTTTCGCCATGACAGGCACATATCTGCTGGTGCATCTTTTCGTAAGATGATCGTTGTTAAGGTTGCTAAACCGCGATCGCCGAGCATGCACGTATATTCTTTTCTCTCCGTTTCACCTGTTGCTTACAACAAGCCAACCCTTCTACTGCAGCACTCGGACCGAGTAGCGTTGTATGTTACACCGTGATCCATCTCGTCAGATTCAATTTGTCTTACGACAGACGCAGATATGCCGGGTCAATTTAAGAAATGAGGTGAATTTCATTAGAGATTCATTCTTTAGGTCACTGATACGTAAACACGTGTGTGCGATATACCAAAATAGAAGCACGCACAGTGTACAACGCCCAGTCAGATCCCGTTTAGATTGTGTATAGTTACTGCTGGCCTTAGCGGGCGTTGGAGGCGCATCACAGCTCAAAACATGTATAGCGGAAGGTCTCACTGCAAAATCCAGAGGTGCCGGGCATCCTGTGCTCAGTCCTGACGCCTGCTCGCTCACTCTAGTGAGCTCGCTAACCAACTGGTGTAGAAAACAATAGAGACTCCAAGTGCCCCACTCACTTGCGCGTACACGTTGCACCTTACATACCCGGTTCATTTTGACATCTTTTGGATGCCAAACTTCGCGAAAATCCTACGGGGTGAACAAAAGTGCGAGTCCACGGAAGGAACCGACGATACACCACTCTCGAAATGGACGCCACGTGTTGCAGAAAACTAGAAAACCTGCGGCGAACTTAGACCAAGAAAGCCCGAAGAAGCTAAAAAAATGTTGAGTTTCGCATATCCAGAGTAATAACATTGTAACATTGTAACATTTTTAGCTGGTTAAGTTACACCCAGCAAATTACTTTGGTTGGTCTATATTCAGCTGCGAAATGAAACGGCGTGGTCTGGCATGTACCTTTGACTTCATTGCCACAGAAAGTTGTCCTTCGAGTATAGGAACTGATAAAATTACGGAGTGGAAAGGGAGCTGCGAGGGTGCGCGCCTACACCGATGTGCATACCCTCGTAGCCCCTCTCTCCGCTTCGCAGTTTTGTCAGTTTCTAGCAGACTTGAAAAGTAATCCGTTACAAGTAACGGATTATTTGTAGTTCGTTACTTTTTAAGTAATTTTGTAATTGCTACGTTACTTTTTTTTCGGAAGCAATTTGGGATGTAATTTCGTTACAAAATATTGGTAAAGTATTACTTTAATTACTCGCTGCTTTTTAAAAATATTAGCATAATACAGTAACTGGAGCAATACGAGCAGAACATTCAGAAGCATAAAGAGAGCAAGGGTACGAAAGGGTACGAACAAAGTAACGTGAAAGTAATTTGTAACGTAACGAGTAAAGTAATCTGTTACTTTTCACCAAAAGTAATTTGTAACGGTAATCCATTACATTTGAGGCTCGGTAATTTGTAACTGTAATCCATCACATTTTTAAGTAACGAGCACAAGTCTGGTTCCTAGTTACCTCTAGGTTGCGCAGCATGCATGGAAGGATAGCCGCACCGCTGTTCGTATTTCATTCGTATTCAATATTACGCTGCTCGACATACTTAACACGAACACCAGATCCGTCAAGATCTTGAACATCCAGAACTTATGAACGTTTTACTTAGGGAGAATATCGACAGCTTTTAAGTATTATCGCTTAAGTTATTGTCCCTGAGTCTGCCCAACTTGTAATACATGCTGCTGGCTCCACTTTTGGCAGACTTGAAGAGGAGTCTGGCTATTGCTTGTTTGTTCTGACTCTGTTGATGTCCTATGTGTGATGCCTTCCACAGGCACATAAAATAGCAATGAAATAATAATAATAATAATAATAATATTAATAGTTTATTTTCCATGAAGCATCGTGGAGCAAAGGGTAAAAGCGTCAAAGGAGGTTTGACCAGCTTTCGGCTCGTACATTGGCATTGCAGCAAAAAAGAAAAAAAAATATACATATAAGTATAGTATATGCACCAGATTACAAAACAGTTATTAATCACCTAAACAGATGGTATGCACAGTCGTTGCAGACAGAAAACCGAAAAACACAAAAAGAGTGCATTCTATATAGCATAAATAAATTTAAAGATTCATTTGACTAGGGGAAGGAAATCACTGCTAGAGATAAAGACAACGCAAAGCCTTGGAGGAGGTAGTGTCAGTGCAAATTTCTTTTTCTAGAAGGAAATTTAACAGTTTCGGTATGGTATATCGCAACATTCGCCTACCATATAGTTACTAGAACAGTAGACAACCTTCCAACACTCCATGTTTCAAGTTAAGTGAACGTGTAGATTTGGTGTCAATGCGGCTAGACTTGACAAGATTTATGTTTCCTTCTTTCTGTTTATAAACCAAAATCAATCTGTATTCATAAAGGCTATGAATTTTTAATAAACTAAACTTCTTAAACAAACTGCCTGTATGGAAATTATAACGCAGGTTGCATGTTATTCTAACCATTTTTTTCTGCAGTAAAAATAATTTTTGCAGGTTTGTTAATGTGGTGTTACCCCAGATGAGGTTGCAGTATAGTTCAGATGAGAATACAATAAAGAATTATAAATTTACATCAAGGCAGTTATCTTTTAAAACGTTTAGCATGTAGGTCTTCATGACTACTCAAGCGCTTTTTCGTTTGGGAGTTGAAAGAATTGTGGACGATAACCGCAACTCTCTTGAGACACTGTTATCTGAACAAATAATTAACAAATACCAAAATATTGGCTTTTGGTCTATAGAGGATCTTTTTATTATTAACAATATCTTTGCGTTGTAAATTTAGGGAGATAAAACACATTCATTTCTTTTAAGTAGGTGTCGGTCCGTCAATATTTGGCACCTCCACAAACTTCACAGTCTTCGGACCTTCTGGCGCGGACTCCATTTCGAAGAGTGCAACGAGGTTAACTTGAGGATACGGAAGTAGTAACGTTCCAGGAACGTACAGCGTCACCTGGGGTCCTATGGACGGCCAATAGCGTCCCAGATTGAAGCCATTGAGGATCGCGACTCCTTTGCCGAATCCCGTTGGATCCAGGAAGGTGTCAAGAGGCTCTTGTCCCCTGGGAAGCATGAAGTAGCCGAAGAAGATACCGGGAACTTCGAACTTGGGCTCGCCATTCAGCGTCATAAGGAATTTTGACAATAACGAGAGCTGTTCTGGTGTTGAAAGTGGTACCCCTTCCATGGTCCAGTTGGTCAGAAGATGCCCACCAAGAGTGATGTTGGAGACAATGCCCTGAAATCGAGAAGTGCGAAAGTATCCAGTCTGAAATATATACGTTAGATTGTTGGTTCCTCATGTTATTAGCAGAACTTCTTCGACTACCAGCGGACGCTTCGCTGAATATCGCCATTCTGAGTAACATATTCAAAATATAAGGTATCGATTTTGCTGAGTAACTAATCAGCCACACCTGATTGTTTCCCCGGTCAATTTTGATAAATACTCCAGCGCAACCAGATATCGTCCATGTGATTATGTCAATTCTTTTAAGAAAGCTGAATCTCTATCTTTGGAAAATTCGTTTAGGCGAGTTAAAGTTTCGTCGACGTCAATTCTGGCCACTCTCGGTTGTTTTCCGCTCTCGTGTACTGATAGTACAGATAACGTAGATGATACGCACTAAAGCCAGTTGTTGCAGCTATTCCCTCAACCCAGTAATCTTGAAATCACGAATTCGTTATCACGTTATCAATATGACATGATAAAGCAACAGTCATGAGGACAACAGTGCTTATTTTCATCACAATAGCTACAGTCTCACCGCGGAACTCTGAAAGGTTTTTTTTTTTTTTTTTAAAGCGGACTGGGGGCGTTTTTAGATAAGATCGAACAACCATGTCGGTGACTATTTTTAATTGTGATAACAAAAATATATTTTTGCTGTATCCATACCCAGAAAAATAAGACCAATCCTTCTTCTCGGAAAAAAAAAACTGTCTTTGCGAAAACAATTTGTAAGCGCCCTCTCTGTCACGTGCGCGTTTTGCGTATCGCGCGATGTTGGCAGTTCGGGCGGTATCCACCACAAATCTGTTCTGGCTACGGGGCTAGAAATATCTACTGACAAATTGGACATACGAAGAATTGACAAAAAGTATTAATCACCGAGTATCAGGATCGTCATTTTGAGAAACAAGATCGCAAACACGGCACAGTGCGCAATAACGCTCTGGATTAGATATGTGCTTTCTTCGCAACTATAAAAGCTAAGGTCTTCAAACATACCCAGGCTGTTGTCTTCTATGTAGTTCACCTTTGCATGAAATATTGTTGTCCTGGTTAGCGGGAGACATTTACAAGAATTGCCCACACGGGGACATTTAACGCAATATGCATTATTTTGAGATTCATTTAAAAAAAGGTAATTTTTAATATTCCTTAAGCTCTCTGCAAATAACGCTTATAATATGTACTAACCGAGTCTGCAAAAACATTATGCAGTGTGTGTGAGGCTTCGAAGTTGTAAAGCGAGAAATACGGCCAAGTTCAGGCTAACTCGGTTACCATAAATCGGGCATGCACATACCCGTTCTTCACAATTTTATTACAATTGAAAAGCGTAAAAATTCTACGGGGTGGTCAGGAAAAGACAAATTTACAGCACAGAGGTGAACGGTAGTTTTGAAGGGAAAATTCTCAATCCACTTTCGTACAACCGACCCAAAAATGCCCATGAGCCGGAGCAATCAAGAGGCACCACACTGTAACATGCTTCGCGGTGCCTGTTTCAACAGCCGGCGTGTAGCATCTCCGTCTACGCGACGTAAAGGAAGCAACCGTAGTGACTTTGCAAGAAGATCAGGCTACAACCTTGGCGGTAACATGATATAGGACTGGAGGTAGGGCGAGGCAGAACGTGAACCTGCGCCGCCTGCGAGCGCCAATAGATCCGCCGCCGTGGAGGGCCAGATAACACATAGGAAATAAAGATAAAAAAAAAAAGAATTCCGATTGACTGAGAGTGTTTTTATTGGGCGTTTTAAGATAGGACCAAACGACAATGTCCGGTCGACATTTTTTTTTTTTTTATCAAAAGATATATTTTACTGGTGCAACCGCAAAAACATGTTCAAAATTTTTGTGCGGAAAATAAATTTTCTCTTGAGTAACAAAAATAACAAAGTCGCTGTTGATATACGCGCACGTTTTTGTGACTTGCGCGATACAGTCCATTTGGATATTTATAAGAGAAAAACTCTTGTCGCCTTAGGGTTAGTATTTTTTTTATATATAGAGGCTGCACATAATATAAAAGGAGGTAAACATGTATTATCGATTACGAAGCAATTCAAAACTTTATGAATCCGGGTCTTAAAAGACTGGAAATTCAATTTTTTTAACATGATTTCGACACGTTTGTTTAATATTCGCATAACTTGCCATTGTGATTGAAAACGATAACCTTTCTATAAAACATACACTGAAATGTAGAAAGGTTACCGATTTTGCAATAATTGGAAAATCAGTTTAAAATGAAGGCCATCTTAATTTTTTTTCTACTTTTCCCAGATCAAGGCTCCTTATCTTTCCAATCAGGCCATTCAAAAATGCTTGGCTATATTTTTCTTTCTTTCTTTTTTTATTTTACAGAGTGATAAATGTACAGAATTGCCGTAACAGGAGTAGAGAAAGGTAGGGCGTTACTGATTCCGAAGAAGGGCAAGAAAGGGTTCGAAAAATGTAGAAAGTTTGTGAAGACAAAGCCATGCAACGCGAGTTCATGAAAAATAAGAATTCATACAAAATATTACAGGTGAGTTTGAAGCACAAGTTAAACATTTAAATAAAGATTTCTCGGATCAGTGAATTTCGGGGTCCACCCTTCATATAGAGGCTGGGCTGCTTACGACCAGGTTTAAATAGTGATATGAAATAACACATGTTTAAAGTGGTACAATTGAAACGAGTTTAATTAATCAAGGTCCTGTGCGCACATTCGGTGCTTCTCGCGTGCTTTCTTTCTACCGGACGCTGACCTGAGTCGGTCACGGCGCTCTCCTGGCACTCTGAGGAGGAACACTCTTTTCCCGTTTTGCCTGTAGCGATCACTGCTCGTTAATTCTCAGTGGAACCGCAAGCTCTCGACCTCGATCTGCTTTTCGCCCAGCCATAGGAGACTTTACTTTCAAAGATATATCTTTTCTGCGTCTACTGTTCTTGCTGAAACAGGTGTAGTTGCGACATGTCGGACCACGTACACTGCCACAAGTGACAAGACTGAATTCCACGCACAACAGGAACAGAGTCCCACTCCTTTGCTTTCATGCCTCAGACCGCTTTGACGTCAGCTTTCCGGGGGTGGATTAGTTTCACATTAGGCCGTTTAGTGTTCAGTGGTGCAGCTATCTCTGACGCCGACTTGATCACCGACTTGTTGGGCAGTCGGAGGTTGTGAAACGTTGCCTGGTGCTTGGCACGACCCCAGATTCTATCGCAGGCACTCTTGACATGTCCAGTTGCGGGAAACATACATTTCGCTGACGTGTACTTGCTGATCTGCAGCTCGTGTTGTTGGTACTTCCTGTTAAAGTGACTTACTGCACCATCACTAACGTATGTCACATGAGCCTACCCAAATTGGATTTCACAATTCTCCGAATCGTTTTAAATAAATTAAGTTACAAACAATCTCATTCACTCGCCTTTCTTTTCTTTTCTTTTTTTTCTTTCTTTGCGTTGTGCTGTTTCTTGCGGCGACGGATCTATCGGCGCTCACAGGCGTCACAGGTTCAGGTTCTGCCGCGCCCTACCTCCTAATTCATGTTACCGCCAAGGTTGCACACTGATCTGTTTGCAAAGTCGCTCCGGTTGTTTGCTTTACGTCAAGTAGACGAAGACGCTAAACGCAAGCTGTTGAAACAGGCACTGCGAAGCATGTTGTAGGGTGGCGCCCCGCGATCGCTCCGGCCCATGGGGATTTTAGGGTCGGTTGAACGAAAATGTATTAGAAATTTTCCCGTTAAAACTACCGTCCACTTCTGTGCTGTCAGTTTGTCTTTTCCTGACACCCCCGTAGCATTTTTACTCTTTTTAATAATGACATTGTGAAGAATCGATACGTCCGCGCCACGCCCCATTTATGGTAACCGAGTTAGCCTGAACTTGGCCCTATTTCTCGCTTTACAACTTCAAAACCACGCAAACGTTGCATAATGCTTTTGCAGACTCTGTTGTACATATTATAAGCGTTATTTGCGGAGAGCTTAAGGAATATTAAAGATGACCTTTTTATTTAAATGATTCTCAAAATAATGCATATTTCGTTGAATGCCTCTGTGTGAGCAAGTCTTGCTAGTTCCTCCCGCTAACCAGGACAACAATATAATATCTCACGCAAAGATGAACGATATGCAAGGCAACAGCCTAGCAAAGATTGGAGACCTCCGCTTTTAAAGCTACGGAGAAAAAAAATGTAATCCAGAGCGTTATAGCGCAATGTGCCGTGTTTGCGATTTTGTTCCTCCAAATAGCGACCCTAATATTCGGTGATTAATACTGTTTGTCAGTCCTTAAGCCCAATGTGTCAAAAATTATTTCTATACCCGTATCCAGAACAGACGTTTTGGGGAAGCTGCCCGAAATGCCAACATTGCGCGATACGCAAAATGTGGACGTAACTGCAATTTTTTTTTTCGCGAATACATTTTTTAAAACAAGGATTGCTTTTAGTTCTTTGAGCCTGGGAGCAGGGAAAATAATTTTTGCATCAAAATTAAAAATGCTCGCCGGTCATTGTTGTTGACCTTATCTGAAAACGCCCACTAGCTAGTATCAGCGAATAACAGTTTCTCTGTTGATAGCATTGTTCACGACAGCCAGCGCAGACATTCGATGTCTGTCCTTTAGGGCCTCAATATAGACTTTCTATCACCACCTTTGACAGGAAGCTCAAAAGCATTCAGCGTCTTGTGTAGACATAGGCAAACTGGCTATTAACAAGTTCAGTGTTAAAGCACGCGCTCATTGACCCACATAGGGTAAGTCTTCATGAAACTCGACATCACCGCATTGATACCAGTCTGCCTTGACCTATACTGAGCTGACAATGTGACAGAAGCAGTTTGTTTATAGGACGAGTCAGCAGTCGGTCTTATATTGCGCAGTCACACCTTTTTGCTTTCTGCTAAAGCCGCAATAAATAATTTCCCTGACAAAAAAGATATATAGCCTCTAGGTCTCTCTTTATCTTCGAGGGGCTAAGAGAAAAAGCTTTACCAGAAACAAACAAAAAACAAGGTAAACATTTATTAAAAAAAAAAACACTTTCGACAAAGGACTTTAGAAGAAGGCCTGGCGAAGATGCAACGGCCATAACCAACTTCTCCACCTATCTTAAACCAGATGAGCAAGTAAAAAGTGGAAATAAATCATTTTCTCTCAAACAACTCTCCCGCGGTTCTCGCAGTCAATGAAGAAATGTGCATGAGCTTCTTCGACTGGATGACTAATGCTCTGAGCTTTGAGTGACGTTATATTTGTATATTTTTATATAAGTTATAATCAGATGCGCATGTCTGCGGCGTTCATAAGAGGCTACGTCTGACATCATTATGAGGCTAAAAACGTTACTGCCGCTTTGAGTAAAAAGTCAGGTTGAAATGGTTTCCAAACAATGAAAAGAAAACAATTGTATAATGAGGAGTCCTACCTTGAAATCCTTGTTACCAGGTCCAAAATTGATACGTCCTGTGTTTTCCACGATGATTGTAAGATTCTCTCCTTTCTGAACAACAACAGGGACGCTGTACGTAAGGTGATCGTTGCTGAGCACGGCTCTGGTTGCCCTCGTGTACACATAACCTCTGTCACTGATCCCAGGAACTGCCAAAGCGGTTGGGCTTTTAGGTTGAAATTCGATCGTCGTTGTGTACGCAACATACCCGAAGTCCTGGCCAAGTTCCTCAAAGGTAATTGGGTAGAGCGAGGTAGCATTAGTAAGGTAAGCATACTGCCTAAAGAAATTCAACATCTCTTGCAAGGAACTACTTGCCGTAAATTCTACGGTGCCGAGATTGAGCTTCGGAGCAGGCGCAGGTGGTTTTCCTGGTGGAAGTGGCAAGTACTTGGAGGTGATGTTTCTGATCTTGTAATAAACATCTGTGGGGTCTCCGGCTTCGCTGAGGGGTGCTCCATAATCATAGCTGGTCGGCTGGGGTGGCGGATTTTTACCGTTGCTAAATCCAAAGTTTGTGCCACCGTGAAACATGTAAAAGTTGACGGACGCGTTATACTGCAGAATCTCCTCGAAGGTCTCCAGCATTTTCTGAGAATCAATCTTCGCATGAGGAGCACCCCAATGGTCGAGCCAGCCTGGATAATATTCTGTCACGATGAGAGGTCCTTTTCCCTGTGCTCTCTTGACAACATCAAATGCACGTTTAATGTTTGTGTCAGCACCAAAATCGGCGGTCACCAGCGTATTATTCACGGCGTCGCATCTATATGCAGAATCACTGGGTGCGTCTGTACGAAACAAAATTATGTCTCGACCTAAATAGTGCTGGAAAACTTCAACTAGGTGTCGCATGTAGTTATGATCACACACGAAGTACTGTCCGTACTCATTCTCAACTTGAACCGTGATTATAGGACCACCATTCTTGTACAGATATGGTTTCACCATGGGCAGAAGGACGTTTAGCCAGTTATCCACAGCATCTAGGTATGACTTGTCGGACGACCTATACCTCATGTTAGGGTTTAGGCGCAGAAGCCAGTAAGGCAGGCCACCGTTGTCCCTCTCCGCGCAGATATAAGGGCCTGGACGAAATATCACAAGCAAACCAACCTCCTGCGCAGTTTCAAGGAACGTCTCGAGATCGTAGTTGTCCTCAAACACGTACTTCCCGGGTTCCGGCTCATGGCCGCTCCATTCAACGTAGGTCTGCAGAGCGTTGAGTCCTGCCAGTTTCATTTTGGTCATTCTGTCTTTCCAGTAAGGTTTGGGCACGCGGAAGTAGTGTAGGGATCCGGAAACATATCGGAATGGCTCACCGTCCTTGAGGAAGCGGTCGTTCTCATAGTCGACGATGAAGGACCTTGCAGTGCCTTCCGTGTTCCCCATCGCGACGATGGAACGAAGCGCAAAGAAAATCCAGAGTGCAGACATGTTCACCACTTGCAAGATCCAGGCATCTGTGTGATCCGTAGCTCGTCTGACTGTTGTCTAGAAGCTTTTTCAATATGGGTTTCTGCAAAGATATATCACTGGCCAACGGCCAAGAATGATAGCGCTAGACAATCTGTCCGCCTATGTTATCAGCTCGAGAGGCGTTTTCTCTTTCGCTCCGAATGTTTTTGTATCACACCCCGCTCCCTTGCTAGACCCATGCCCGCTCGTAAAAGGCGACTTTTCATTTGCTGAGAGTGGCAGGTTTAAAGGTTTCTGCATAGCGCAGATGCAAAGGTTTCTGCATAGCGCACGCTGTAGTTGCACGCTTTTATCTCCGGACGTTACTGTACAAACTCGTCCCAACTGAATTGCATCCACTTTGCGCATGTTTGCGTTTAACTAAACGTAAACGTTAAAGTAAACTACAAATAAACGTTTAACATTCATTCTTGCTATTCAGAGAATTACGAGAGCACATTTTTATGTGAAGTCTCTGATCACGCCAAAGCGACAGTTTATGTCTGCATATATTGTCTCAATAAACATTCACGGTGTACACTAGTCATTGAATGGGAATCTGGTGGAAGTAGCTAATGCACTTATCTTGTCGAAGAACGTATTAACGTAGGTCGACCCTGTGCTCCTTAATACGAAGCGTGCTTATATAGATATTCAGATACATTACCTAGATGGAAGTCATAGCCAGCTTTTGTTTAATGCCCAACTTTCAGGAACATTAACGTCGTAAAACTTTATTTCAGAGAAGATCTTTCTGTGTATATATTTATGACGCCTATAGAACAGAATGAGCAGCTGTAGATATCATTAAAATATATTTACAACTTTATGATCTCTCCGTTAATTTGCAATATACAAAGATATTTGATGGAGGATGCCTTTCAATAATGTTGCTCAAGCCAGGTTCGATTTAATAGAACGTGATGAAAACTAGTCAAAACTACCGTGCTATTTTGTTTTCATTTCTATACAGAGAATTATAAGAACTGCTTGGCCCTTCCATCTTCAGCATATATATTATGTAATTTTATAGTGTTCTTGCGTTAGTAGTGACTTGTGTGTTCACTTCTTTCAGCCAATTATTTTATGCCTGTTCCATACGGCCTCAACACGTTCTGTCAAGACCTGCATTTTAGTAAATCAACTACACTGCCTCGTGCGGTTAAATAACTGAAAGCTTATTGCTACATAGGACATAAAACAATGTCATATGTTGCAGTTAACAAAAGTAACAAAAGGTTAAATGTCCAAAGTTTTAAAGACTATCTAGGATTGAACAAAATTTTGACTTTGGAAGCAGAACAACATCAGTTGTAGTGCAAGAAGGCATTTGGGCGGTCAATATAATCTAAATTAATTTGGGACTGCCCGGAAATTCGAGGGCGTAGACTCACATGAAGTTCTTAAACTTTAACAAGACGATAGGTTATTTTAACGTGAAAATTTTCTTTGTCCAGGTGTCTGGCCTCTCGTGAAGCCTGAATAAACGCGTGGCCGCGAGGCTCGACTCTGATTGGTCTGCGACTGGAAGATGAGGAGTAAGGTGCTGAACGCTTATTGGTTAACGGGGAGGTCAGGTGACCAAAGGGCTAGGCTAAAAGTGAGGTAGGTGAGGAGGAGCTTTACCACACATATGCGCTGAGGGAGAGGAGCTCGAGCGTATGGAAGGCTCTGGAAGATCGCCAGGTTTATCAGTCCGATGATCGGTAGTATCCCTGTACTCTTGAAAACATTATCAAGGGTGCACATCAGACTTGTACGTAATCCGTTACAAGTAACGAAATTACTTGTAATCCCTTACATTTATCAGTAATTTTGTAACGGAATAATTACATATTTTCTAGAGTAATTTTAAAGTAATTCCCTTACATTTTTGACGTAACGGATTCCTTGTAATCCGTTACATTTTTTTGTCAGAACCAACCCCCTCCCCCTCCCCCCGCCCCCATTCTAAATAAAGATTTTTTTTTTTGTAAAGTCGAACACAGTGACACTGTCACGCGAATCGACTAGCGTAAAGGGAGGCTTGGCACTCTTCAGTTCCTCAAATCCTTTTTTTGCAACACCAAGCCCCTGAATCTATCCTTTTTTTAGACCCTAACTTCAATGTAAAAAAAATCCAAATGAACAATTCACGAAAAGAAAAACAAAAAAAAGGGGGGGGGGGGGGCAAGTATTTCCGCTTTTTTTTTTTAGTCCCTTTGTCTTTTCTTTGCGATCGAAGACGGGTAGAGGAGGACACCAAGTGATTGTGCGCCTCTTCGAGAAGCTCGAGGCGGTAAGTGCACTGAAAAGAATTAACAATGTCCTTCTCTACGGCCATTTTCATAATGTCACAACAGGAGACAACGCTCCGTCTACCCTACCCTTTTTGTGGGTCAGCTTTTTGCGAGCATTTAGAATATGGTAACAGTCTTCCTTTCTTCTTCTTCCTGTTTTGCCCCAGCAGGACGCATCTTATCTCAAGCAGATATTTTTACAAATAAAACATAATGGGGGCTGACGTAGACTTGATATTCTGGGCTTTTTTGCTGCCCGTGGTCCAACAGACGTCTATCTGGAGAACACCGGAGTAAACTGCAGTCGGTTCGTGCTCCGTGCGTTTTTGAACGGCACCAAGAAAGGTACACACTGCAAACGTGCGTTTACATTTCCCTGTTTTAACCGACGTTCTAATTAATTGTCGTTATGAGTGTCCTTCTTTTTCTTTTATTACTTATATTTTTATACTGGAAACTTTTTTTTATTCACCAACGTCTCAAGTGAGGTTCGAACTGTTCAGAACCAAAGGAAGAAGAATATCGAGCCAAACCTTATTTATTATTTAATTATCACCTTACTGTTACAACTATGTTTTGCTATTGATGACTTCTACAGCTTCGCGATTTAGAGAATGGAGAATTTTAGTAGATTGGTCCGATGTCTCCGATAACAATATCCGATACTTCGCCGCCGTCTTTGCGTATGCATCATATCGTTATCGGGTACCGTTATCGCGGGTATGGGAGGAATCGGAAGGATCTACTAAATCTCTCAAATAGCAGGCAACGGCTGCAACGACGTAGCTTTGCTCTACATTCGCGAGGAAAATAGTACTTCCCTTGCTTCGCTGAAAGAGCTCAATGCAGAGCATGAAGCATTCGTGAGGAACAATAGACACTCCCATCCAGTGCCTCAGCTCATATTGTGTTCAGCGTAGCAGTCGACATGTTGAGTAAGAGATAATGCAAAATGTCTGACGAGACATATAAGAGCCAGCTGTTGCTCAAAATACTCAAGGTCATTAAAAGGAACAAGTGGCAAGAATAAGAATTTGAATAACCCTCTTCCCTTTGTTTCTTACTTGAGGACAATAATGTTAAAAGTAACGCCACGAAAGTAACGGATTACTTTTTGGGGTAACGGTCAGTTACTTTCATGGGAGGGTAATTGTAATTGTAATAAATTACAATTTATCCTTGAGTAATTGTAAATGTAATTCCTTACTATTTTTCAGTAACGTGTACAAGTCTGGTGCACATGGTACGCGTCAAACCATCGGATGAAGAGCGCTGTGTACGTAGGCGTCTGGAGTCTAAAAGCTTAGAGTATCGCTAAACGTTGGGGAAGCTGGAACATTTCACATAGGCAACACAACTGACTAACAATATGCCATATATTGTCGATAGACTGTTGCTATACTCTGTTTCACCTTATGTTGTACCGCAGGAAAAGCTACAAGCGCGAGTTCCTTGCTTTAGGGCACATCTCGGCGGCACAGGCTCTCGTGCGTTAAGAGCAGATCCCAACGCCATGAGCTCGCGCTTCTAGCCTTCTCTGTGGTACAACATAAGGTGAAACGGAGTATAGAGCTAGCAACAGCCACACCCCGCCATAGAATTTACAGGCAAGAACGGCGTTCCTTCACCACTCAATGCGAATGTGTAATTTTTGCTTCACAGAAAATGAAGGAGCATTTCTCGGCACCATAGTTTTTTATTTATTATTTTTTTTTTTAGGGCACAGCTCTTAGAAGCCCGTTTCCGGGTTGAGAGGCGTCACGTCAGCGTCAGTGTCGGCGTCAGCGTCGCCGTCGCCGTCGCCGCCGCCGTCGGCGTTGGCATAACCGCGCGTTGCATTATAGGACGTTTCCCATAAAGACTTCACATGTAACTTCACGTGTGGCGTCATGAGGGTGAAATGTTCTCGCTAAACGTGGCAAGAAAATTCTTCGCAAAATTATGCGGGAAAGTTTTTCGCTACATGTAGCGGGAAAATTTTTCCGCTAAATTTAGCAGGGATACTGACGTCACGCGACCTCTAAATTAGGGAGTTGTATATCGTTTTCGCCGTCCCGCAACGCTTTCCGCAACCCCCTACGATGCCCGGATTATACAGCCAAGGCCATCGGCGCGCAAGCGCAATAGAGGCTTCTTCGTTGCGGAGGGCATTGCGGAAGGGGAAACGCGGTCTACGAAAACTCCATTAATTCAGCTTCCCCGCTAAATTTAGCAGGAAAGTTTTCGCTATATTTTCCTCTTAATTTAGCGGGAGATGTTTCGCTAAGTTTCCCACTTAATTTAGCGGGAAAATGTTGGTAAATTTCTCGCAAAATTTAGCGGAAATATTTCCCCGCTTAATTTTGCAGGGAAATTTTCTCTTAATTTAGCAGAAAATTTAGCGGAAATTTCCCTCTAAGTGGGAGGACAGTATAAAGGGGGAGCAGCCCCTGCTCCCCCTCCGTACCCTCCCCTCCTCCCGTAAGCTCCGCTGCTCCTCCTCAAGAACTGCGTTCTATTTTGGCATTACGGAGAATTGTAAGGGTCTTTCATTAATTTCATTGGCGCTACAAAAAGAAAACATTAGTTATTCACTGGTGTGACGAATCTCACATTAATCGGAATGTCCGTTTGTCGTTAATTAGTTCTGTGGTCTTTCTTTTTTTGCAGGGGGTGAGTTTTTTTGCAATTTCTTACGTTGCAACAGACGGCAGTGTTATGAAATTTTAAATGATCATCCTCACATTATGGCGATCATATTAGGAAGACTGTCAGTGCAAATATGTAGGAAGAACCTAAATGTCTAGTTTCTGTCGCTGATGATACATTTTTCGCACAAAGTGATTTTGTTTTATCATTCGATGTGCGACTGTTTTTTTTTTTT